AAAAAAATATAAACTCATCTTCCTTAAGGAAAACATGAAAACTAAAGAAATGTTAACTTCCCTCTTAGAGTCTAGAAATTACTTCCAGAATTTGAGAGCCAAGAAGAAAAGTTCCAAATCAAATTGGATTGTTTTGCTATATCTCTATAGAAACGATATGAATTCTCTTTGAACTACATTTTGGGAATCTAATAAGAAATATATATTAAGATCACTTATGCATGTATGTAAATTACTTTCAGAATTTATGAACACTACTTTGGATAATTACACGAAGTCCATGAAATAACTGCTAGTGTGAAAATTTAACAGTGTAATATAGTTTAGTATGAAAGAATCAGCAGTCTAGTCTTTTATTAACTGCTAGTTAATAAAGGTCTAGTCTTTTTGACAGTTTCCTTTAAAAATAACACCCTTTTTTTGTTTTGCTTTCATTGTTCTCTACCCTAAGATTAGAGAAGAGATTAAGATTGATGTTATCTACAGATAAGAAGCAAAAGATCAATAAAGGACTAAATAGGAAAGAGAGGTAAAAGGAAGAGTGGCAATGTTACCTGAGGGCAGGGACTTGATCTTACACTTGGTATTTAATAGTGCCTTGCATATAGAAAGCACTCAAACAGGAGTTTGCTGAATAAAAAGACAGGATGAAAAGCACCAAAGGAAGGTGAATAGAAGAAAGAAAAGTATATAAAAAAATACAAAAAATAAGAAACTGAATTTTTTTGGTTAAATGTTATACTGGATATCATAAACCCAAGAAAATAAAACTGATTTAGCTACTTACCGCTTTAACCATAGCCAGCTTCTCATTTGTAATCTGTTCTGTATACTTTCTATACGCTGCATTTTTAGGGATTTGCTCAAGAACATCAAGAATCTTTGTATACAATATTCTTAGCCTCTGAAAAGAAACCATACAAATTTCTATAGGTTAAAATGTTACCAAAGATTTAATGGCACACTTTAAAAAGTCTCATAGACGAAAAACCCAAACACAAAAATCTCACGTCTGCTTTTTAAAAAAACATTTAACTTTTCTTTACTGCAACTTCTTCATGTCTATGTCCTATCCACACTCTTTACAACTTAGGAAAAATTTGAGTATAAATGTGGAAACTCTTTCTATATGCTGTAAGTATAACAAAAGTTGTACATAAGTCAAAGCTATGATAACAAGTAAAAATAAAACTAACTTATTGCTAATGACCTTTTTCAGAAATCAAATAATTTACTAAATCAGTATTTCTCAAATTGAGGTCCTAGGCACTGCAAATTCTTTTTCTCCAATTTTTCTTATTTGAATTTCTGTAGAAATATATATATACATTAGATCATCAGTATGATCAAATTTAACTGAATATAGTCAGGGACTGGGTAGGCATGGTAGGTCACGCCTGTAATCCCAGCACATTCAGAGACTCAGATGGGAGGATCCCTTGAACCAAGGAGTTTGAGATAGCCTGGGCAGCATAGCAAGACCCTGTCTGTAAAAATAAAAACTTAAAAATTAGACAGGCATGGTGGCAAACACCTATAGTCCCAGCTACTCAAGAGGCTGAGGC